GAGATTCTGTTGAGGCATAAAATATTATTAGCAGTATGCAAAAGCCCAGAATACAATATACACTTCTGATGGAGCCTTACAGGGGAAAATAAGTGGTACCTCAGTTCATGAATTTAATTCTTTCCATGATCCTGGTCACAAACCGAATGGGATGAAAACCAAATCAAATCAATGGTTTGGCTCAATGTTGACGTTATGGGGAAATTTGATTCAGTTCTCATCTAATTCAGTTCGAGACCAGAATTACGGGAAGAACTAAGTTCATGAACCTAGATACAACTGTAGCGTGGTGGCAGGAATTTAGGTCTTAGAGCCACACTCCAAGGTTCAAATCTCAGCTCCACCACAGTCTAGCTGTGTGACTTTGGGGAGGTCACTCTACTTTCTGTGTCTCCTTTTCATCACAAAGTGGTACTACTGTTAGGACCTCATCACATTACCATGAGGATTCAGTGAATCAAAGCACCTACAGCCAGCCCTGCCACATGGCCAGTACTGTGTACGTTTGCTGTTCCTTTTGGGATTGGTCGAGGCTGATTGAATCACTTTTTCCAAAGTTCTTGGCAGCCACAGCTATAAGTTTTGCAGTCAAGGATACATAATATTGAAGAGGTAAGTAACTGACTTTTTCTCTGCCATGCTATATGGAAAACAGGTCAACCCAAAGTTTCTCTACTGTACGAATAAGCTAGGAACCTGTGCCAGACAATTGGAGATCGATCATTCATTCATTCATTCATTCATTCATTCATTCATTCATTCATCTGAATCCTAACAAATTTCCTATTAAGCTGTCAAGTCCATGCAGGGCAAAATGCAGCCTGTAGGGTCTAGAGTCTTAGTTTACATCCAGGGTCCTTCCCTTCTTAACCATGTCATTCTGGGCAAGTCATATTACCAGTGTGAAACTCTTTTTCTTCTAAAAAAAATGTAGAAAACAGAGGACACACAATCAGGGAAGACAGACAGCAAGCTCTGGATAGGACTTACATATGTAAGTATTGATAATTGTGTAAAGGGCCAAATAGAAACATGATGTTTTTAAAGAGGTGCTAGAATGAAAAATGACATGGGGAAATTCAGGTAACTTTTTGGATGAAGAGGGCAATGGGTAAAACCCACAGGACCACTAGCTACCTCTACTTTAGTTCTGACTGTGATACTGCATGAGTCACTTCACTTCTGTTTGCCTCAGTTTCTCCTTACTCCCACAAGACATCACAAGTTGAGATGTTGCTAGAATTAGATAATAAGACACTCTCACCCTTTCTAAATAGAAATGTTATAAATTCCTCAAGACTATAAATATGGTCTCACATCCTTGCTCAGCACCTTGTGAGAAGCAAAAGCCCCCACCATTTTCTAAAAGAATCTCAGCTTTTGAAAATAACAAAGGAAAAAAACGACCCTTCAGAATTTTTAAAATAGATTTCTCTGCCTCCTCAGCACTTCCTAGGAGATGAAATCCAGAAGAAGCATTTGTTGTTGGTGTTTCACTACCAATGGCTGATGAGAGGGACAAAGAAGGGGGAAGTGCCCACATCCTTCTTTAAGTACCATCTCAGGCCCTACCTGATCCTCACTAATGCATTCCTTCCCCCAAATATAAATCTGACTCAACTAAGGCAAGCCATGTCACCTCCAGAGCTTGATGTCATGATTTCTTCTTCCCAAGGGCAGAAGGGAATTCACTGTCCAAGAACCAGAGACTGTTGGGATATCATAGTCTTTTAATAGGCATTATCAGAAAATCCCTTTGTTAAATACCTTGACCTGATTTAATGAAAGTGCTCAGTAGATAGCTTGGCATTTAATAGTGCTCAGCAACAGTGTTGACAAAACCACCATTTGCTTGCTAGATTTGGTACTGTTTCTCTTGTTCTGTGTTCTGCTAGCAGATTTTGGAGATCTGAATAGGAGGTTTGGGCACCAGGATCTTCCGTGTGGTTCTTATCAGTTCCTTTGAATCAGTGGTAGTCCTGATGAGGTTATGAGAATTTTGAGGTTGCTAAGAAATTTCCCATGGGGCTTCATGCTCCAAAATTGGGATAATTCTAGAAAAACTACTTTGTTTTGGTACATACCTAGATGTCTCCTCAAAGCCTCATGTACTTACAGGTAGGGCTTTTCAGAGCTTGCTGGATCTAGGGTCAGTGATACTGGGATTAAGGGAGTATAGTACTAAATTAGTCCACTGATTAGAATTAGAATAGTTCTGGGTATGGCTGAATAGATTTGCTGAAGATAAGAAGCCCCATGCTGGTACCACCTAAAAAAGTATCTAGCCTAGATGAGACAAAAGGGAAAGGCAGACTTACGGCTTGCTTTGTCCTGCCTGCCATGCTGTGGACTGCTTCTCCTCTGTAATACTCCTCTGCCATACTCTCCTGCCTTGGACCAACTACAGACTGAAACCTGTATAGACTGTGAACTGAAATAAACTTCTCCTCCTTTAACTTCTGGGTGTCCAGTATTTTGTTCCAGTAATGAGAAAAGTAAATAAGACAGAGAAGTGGGGTCATTGTTGTGATCCTTGATAGCCTTGTGGTTCAGAAGACTTTGGAACTGGATTGTGGGAGGAATTTGGAAAGGTTCAGAGTTGCTGAGTGAAGAAGCAGTCCTGGAGTGCTGTAAATCAAACTTGATGGGAGATTCTGTTCAGCACTCGGAAGACCAGAATGCTGATAGAAATGCTGCTGGTAAAGAGTAGGTTTAGGAGTTTTTCGTTAGCAATAAGGACTGCTAGCATTGACTGTTAGACTCCAGACCATGTGTGTTATCATTTGGCACAAAATTTGTTTGCATTTTGCTCATGTCCAAAGACTTTGTCTGAGACCAAGTGTGGTGGACCAACCTGGCTGAGGAAATTTTAAGACAGTCTAATTTTGAGGCAGAAGCATGTCTACTACTGGGAGCTTTTAGCCAGATCTATGTTGAGAATCAAGAGAAAAGTGCCCAGCAGAATGATTTAAAATATTTTTAGTTTGGCCAGAAAGGAAACTCTAGTAAAGTTCTGTACTGCAAAGATGGAGCAGAGGAAAACTTGGTTGCTGAGAAGGAAGAAGACAATAAAAAAGATGTTTTAAGGGCATCATAAGAACCAGCAGGACTCCTCCCTTTGTAGCCTCAAAATTGCAATGCTGAAAGACTTCGTTTTAAGAAAAGAGCCCCAGAGCACCATGTTCCAGAATGGTGGCAGCCTAGGAAATTTGTTCCCAGGGATTGGGTTCATAGTACTCAGAAATTCAGGTACTCGACCCCTATAGCCAAGACAGAAGGAAAACCTTGGCACCATCCACACACTGCTGATTTTAGCTGCATGCATAATGCAAGAGTTATGGGGCCAGGAAGGTTTCCACTCATAGTTCAGAAGAAGGCCTGGGAGGCCAGGCAGTGTGTCCCTGAGATGGCAGTGTGTGAATCTGTGAGAGTGAAGCCAAAGGTCCTATGAAGACTCAGAATGGTTGAAAAAGCCAGGAATGTGAATTGTCCGAGGAAAGCTGCAAGGAATGAACAAATGCAGCCCAAGAGAGAAGCCATAAGAGCTGCAACCACTAATGGTGCCATAGGGGTGGAACCACCCAAGCCTTTTGGAGTTCACATCTTACTACAGATTTCCCTGGGTACTGGGCATGGAACTATAGGACATAATATTTGCCATGCTGGATTTTGGACTTACTTTTGCCCCATTCATTTCTATTCCCCTATTTGTACATTTTGGATTGGGATTGTTTATCTTGTGGCATTGTTTATTGGAAGTGTTTAACTTTCTTTTCATTTGTGCAGTGGCTCAAAGCTCAGAGTTGCCCTTAAAGACTTTTGAAGACTTTGGAGAAAATTTTGGACTTGTACTTTTCAACAATGTTGAAACTGTTAGGATTTTGGCAAGTCTTACAGGTGGACTAAATGACTATTACATAAAGAGATGTGCAGGAGTCTCTTGGGGGCCAGGGGCAGAATGTTATGGATTATATCTAATGTTCCCCCAAAGCCTCATATACTCACAGGCAGAGCTTTTTAGAGCTTGCTGGATCTAGAGTGTGTGGTACTGGGATTAAGGGTGTGTTGTAATAAATTAATCCACTGATTGGAATTAGCATTGTTCTAGGTATGGTTGAGTGGATTTACTGAAGACAGATGCCCCACCTTGAGTGTAAGAGGATTCTAGCTTACATGGGACAAAAAGGAAAGGCAAGCTTGTTGCTTCTTGCCTGACATGCCATAGACTATTAAAAGACACTTCCCTTGCCACAAGATACAGTTAGCAGAATGCAGGGGAACAGTGGTTTGAGTGCAACTTTGTAATATCTTCCTAATTTTACAGTACATGTCTAAAATTCTTTTTTTTTTTTTTTTTTTTTTTTTTGGTTTTTCTCCGGTACCGGGAACCGAACTCACAACCTTGCGCTTGCCAGGCAGGCGCTTTGCCGCTGAGCTAAATCCCCAGCCCCTAAAATTCTTTTATGGGTGATCAAGCCTTTATAAAATTGAGAGTGTGAATCGAAAAGAGAAAGGCAAGGCAATTATTTAAACTCATCCTATAGTATAAATGACTGATATGATGTGTTCCCTTTGAGTAAATTCTAATAGTAAAGGAGAATATAAAGACACTGACACCTGGAAAGAATGAAGCTTGACAGGCTGATAGATGGACTCAGTTATAGAGGGGGAGAGACCCTAAAGACCAGCTATTACATGGTCCCCATTGCTTCCCATTTTTTCTATGAGAGAACTAAGGCAGTTTAATGTAGTGGCAAGCTCAGTGTGAGGACTGGGTTGTACCCCAAGGGTCCAGATCCTACTCCTGGAAGAGGGACTTCCCATCACACTGAGCGGATACAATACTGTAGCAGGGGGACTGGATCAATTTCATTCTCCCTATAGTTTGGTTTGGGCCATCTCTGAAAATTGTCTTGGGCCTGCCTTCCTTTCACTGGGAGGTGTCATGGTGGGCTGCTCTACGGGTCCCAGAGCTGCCTGTGCTCCAGGGGCTCACTCACCTTTGGCCGCATCCACTTCAGGGTAGAAAGGTTTTTTCCTTGGAGTAGTTTCTGGCCTATGGAAGAAGCTTCAGCAGGGAAGGTCTCATCCATAAACCACTTTCCCCTGCTTAGGCAATGGTCCCGCAAAGAGTTAAAGTCCTGATCCTTGAACTTGGTAATGGAGGTCTCTGCTAGAGGATCTGAGTAATGTGCCATGACTTTCCTTAGAAGACTTCTGAGGTCCTTTTTTTCTGGTGAGAAAAAGACACACTTTTATGGGTAAGCAGTCAAGTCCTAGCATGACTAGATATAAGTCCCAGAAAAGCACTCTGTTGTTCCCATCTTTTTAAAGTGAGGGAACAAAGACCTAGACCCTTGCTGTTCCTGGTGACACATCCAATGGGTGGATGAGCCTGAACTAATCCTTATTTCAGTTCAGTGTTCAATCTGCTGTACTGAATAGTTTCTTGGTGTGTTTTTATGAGCACCAAGAGCTGGGGTATCTGTACATTTAATGCACATTCATTGAGCACTGAACCTGTGCCTGGCATTCTTCTGAACACTGGCAATCCAAAGATAAACACAACATGATCTTTATCCCTTAGGGGCTCCTTATCAAAGTAGGAAAGATGAGTTAGACATCTCAACAACCAGATAATGTTCAACAGAAATTATTCAATTAAAAATGTGTACAGATTCCTGTGGACATAATAAATAGGGGGAGCTATGTGCTCTATGAACAGTTTTGGATGACTCTTTCATAGGCAGTGACATGTGATTTGGGCCTTGATAATTTTCTGGGTGGAGAATTGGGTTGGCAAGGCCCTGGGTATGGAGGGAAAGGAGAGTGACCAGAGGGTTTGGTGGAGTTAGTAAGTGTTGGAAGAGATGGCCAGAAAGGCAGGTGGGAAAACCGGTCTGAAATGTTTTATAGCCTCTAAGCACTGCAGAGTGATGGAAGAGTTGGAGTCTTATCAGATCTGTAGATGTGATGGTGCTCCAGAGAGCAAGATGAGGCTGGAGGGTGGAGAGGATAAGTAGAGGCTAGAAGCAGAGGCTATGAGACTGCTGCATTTGCCCATAGGAGAGACAGCAATAGAGCATAAATAGTAATGATGGTGGAGGGGAGACACATTTCATAGGTAGAACCAATAGGATTAGATGATGAACATGGGAGGAGGAGGAGGAAAAAGAAAAGGCAGAAACGTAACGTGAACAGGCACATAAGTTTGCTTTTGCTTTTACCACTTACCTGTTGGTTCTGTAAAAGTGAACTGGTATCTAAATTTCTTTACCTGTATGGATTGATCATACCAACCTCATAGCGTTCATTGCAGTATTAAGCAAGGTTTGACATAACAGATGAAGCAGAGTAGTTGAAATATAGTAGGCATTCAGTAAATGTGTATCTAATTCCATAAAGGGAAAGAAGGCTGGGATTTTTCTTTAAGGCAGCTACAGGGATGCAATTCATGCCATTTGCATCACCTCTTCCACCCATGAGGCTGGCCTGGATCTGAATCCCAAATTCATCCTATGCATTGAAAAACCTCCTCAGGCCTTATAGTAGTGCTTTTGAAGCTTCTTTGGCCAGTGTCTGCTTAGGTGACACAAAAGACCCCAAGGTCTGCCCATCCCACCCATTACTACACCACGATGAACACAGGATGAGAGAAGGACATACATACATGACTTATAAGGAAAGAACATGAGCTTACAATCAAGATTTTGAATGCTGGAAAAATGTTTGCAAACTTAAAATAACTTAGCAATTATCTTGCAGTTACCTTATAATGGTATGTGGCGAATTATTTGGATAGCACAAATTCAGAGCCAGAATATCACCAATTAAGTGTCATTGCACACACTTATTTGGAGAGAACTGCACATACAATTGCCTTCCAGACAAGATAGTAGTAATTTCCATTTGAACTAATAAATTGAACCACACAAAACTGGCATTTGTATGGATTAAAAATAGTTGGATAGAGTCAGATTCATATGGTTTAATCGGACGTAAAAAGTGGTTAAAGATGGGCAGTTTCACATAGTTTTAGCCTAATATATGTATTTCTTCAATCTAGTTCTTGGAAAATAACAGACCAAACTATTTAATATGTCTCACCACTCACAATAGGATTATAGCGAGAACCACAACAAATTAAATAAATAGTGATAAAGCTAAAAGAACAGCAAGCCATCATTCAAGAGCAAGAACACAGTGTTAGAAACTACTTGTCAATTCAAGGCAAAGGCAATGACTCTGATAATAAAGAGTTGGGAAAATTGTGGGTTTACCAACTGCATGTGTGCTTGGGGATAGAAGAACTAACACAGCACTGCCAAGCTTCCACCTCTCAAATACTGGAGTATATGATGGACTCCAGCAATGAGCTACTTTTATGAAATTTTATTTGTATGAGAATCAAATGGTAATTATTCTTAGTAACACAATTACAGGATTGCTAGGAAGAAGCCATTTGCTGCACATAAAGATAAAAACCTAAAGAATTTTGCTTCATTTTCCCATTAGAATCAGGTAAAATCCTTACATGTGGGTATCAATTCCCAGCCCATCTGGAGGGTCCCCATTGCCCACTATTGGGTATCAGTTTAGCCAGACTTTAGGAATCCCTTGTGAAGCACACTTTCATCATTTGCAAAATGGAGATGAAGGTAATATTACACACGTAATAGGGCTGCTGTGAGACTCAGCTGAAACCATGCTTGCAGAATGCTTAGCACAGTGACTGGTAAACGGAAAGCAGTCAATACCTAATAATTATTAGTATGATTATCATGATCACTTTTTAGCATGAAAGAGCTGTGCAGAGAGCTGCCACACTTAGAGACAAGGACTTGCTCAAAACTAAGGACAGGCTGGGCTCAGGGGGACCAGAAGGGGTGAAGCACAGTGGGCAATCACACCTCTCTCCTCTGCTCACTGGCTGTTCAGGCCCAGGTGGGAAGGGAAATGTGCTAAGAGTGTGGAGGTAGGTATCTGTGGATGGAGGAGGTGGCTGCTTTTGGTGGCAGGGGCATTTAGAGAGAAATGGAGAAGGGAGGCAGACAAAGGAGCTTTCTAGGTCTCTACACAAACACACACACGCACACACACACACACGCACGCACACACACACACACACACACACACTTTACACTTCCCAGGGCCTCCTCCTTTCTCTCTGGATTGTTCATCACGGAACATGTCACTATTTCACTTCTGTGTACCCTAGTAAAGACCAGCCAATTTTCCTGTGTGTCACTGCGAAGAGTTTCTGGTTTCTATCTTCTCCTCTCTTCTTGCCTCACTTTGTAAGGCACACAAAGGCAAGACAAAATTCTGCTGCTTTGATTTAAGAAAGAGAATCAGGGAGATGAAGGCCTACTTGATGTTCAGGTTTAAGTCTGTCTTGCTGTAAGGTATTTCTTGGGGGTGGCAAGAAAAATGACATAGGAGGAGTTGACATGGAGTTGATATGAAGTTCTTCCTGTGAGTAATTTTGTGAGCTAACAACCAAGCTTCAGAAGCAGGAAGAAAGTGTACTTGGGGCTGTGAAACCTTTTCTGTTTATCACCTCAGTGTCTGTGAAACAAGATGAATGCAGGTTTCCTTGATTCCTCTCTGTGTGAGGGTCTGTCTTAGTCAGCTCGGGCTGCATAACAAAATATCAGAGATTAGGGTAGTCTTGGCAAACCTGTGCCAGTGTGCTACAGTGAATACACAGAGCCCTCTCTGTTGGCATGCAAACCAAGACACCCTAGCAGCTGAGCATCAGATAACAGTTGCTTTTCTCTAAACTAAAACCACAGGATTCAAGTTTAGTTGCATTGTTGGCACTTTGTAATAAAAAAAGTGGGTTTGGGGTTGCAGTTTTGATACTTGATCTCTAAAGGTCCACATCACTGGACTAGGGAATTCAACAACAGAATTTATTTTTTCACAATTCTTTCTGGAGGCTTGAAGTCTGAGAACAGATTTCTAGCCTGGTCAGATTTTTGTGTTCTCACTGGATCAGATGCATTAGTCAGCTTTCCCATTACTGGGACAAAATACCCAACTCCCACAAGTTAAAGAAGAGGCTTAATTTGGCGCATGGTTACAGAAGATTCAGTTCATGGTTATATGGCACCAAGGGAGAAATTTCATGACAAAAGAACACGGCAGAGCAAAGCTGCTTAGTTCATGGCGGCTGTGCAGCCAAGCAGGGGAACAGTGCCAGGGAGGAATAGGTGAGGGACAATATATAGTAACCCAAGATCATATCTCCATGACTCACCCAGACACACACCAAGAAGAGTGCTTCACTAATCTACTAGGCATTTCCTAATCCAATGGAGTTGACGTATCAGCCTTCATGGTCACATGGAAAGGAGAGAGAAAGAGAAAAGAGAGAAGGTAGACACAGAGAGACAGATTGTCCACTCTTCTTATCCATCAGGTCCTACTATTATGACATCTTTTAACCTCCATACCATCTTAAAGGCTCTATCTCCAGAAATTGGCACGCTGAGGGTGAGGCTTCATATAAATTTAGGGGGAAATATGATTCAGGCCTCAGCAGTGACTAAAAAATAAGTGCTATGCATAGCTTATATGGTTTTCAGCAACTTGTCATTTTTAGCCCTACAACAGGCTGACCCAACTCTTATGGTCCCAGCTATGTATTCCAGGGAGTATCAAAAGGGGAATTGGGACATAGCAACTAGGACTTCAGAATACAGATGAAGGATACCAGTAGACACGAGGGAAGAAAGACACCAGCACCTAACTGCTGAATAAATAAATGTTATTGAATTGATGTAAAGACAACGAGGGCTCCTTAATGGTAGAAATGTCTTAGGTACTTACTGACCTTTGCAACAACATGGATAAATCTCAAAAAGCATTACTCAGCATGAAAGAAGCCAGTCAAAACAGAGTACACTTTCATTTTGTACCAGGAGTCAAACTCAGGACCTTGCAGTTGCCAGGCAGGCACTTGTGTAACTGAGCTATATCCCTAGTCCTCAGAGTATATGTTGCATGATTTAATTTATATAAAATCCTAGAAATGCAAACTAATGTAATATTATAGAAAAAAGTTTAGTAATTGTTCATAAATGGGGTGGAAGGAGGAATAAATTTCAAAAGATTATGAGAAAACTGGGAGCAGTGCAAATATTTATTATTTTGAGTGTGGTGATGATTTCACATGTACATGCAAACACTTATCAAAGCTACACTTTAAATATGTACCATTTTATATGT